CCTGCTTCATGCTTTTTTGCCTCCACCCTCTGGATCTTCATCCCTCTGCTTTATCCCCTCCCTTGCCTCCTTCAAAGCCGTCTCAAGACTTTCCTCTTTGATTGTGCTTTCGGCCACCCTCCTACCCCTCTTTATTCCAAACCCCAGCAGGATGCAAACCATTAACTGTCCAATGCCTTGGGCCATCCTTCTGATGTAAACAACAACAAGATTACATTTGTATAACGCCTTTCACGTCGGGAGGGGAGGGAAAAGGTGCTATATAAATGTAATTTTGTTGTTATGTGTGTTTTTATCAGGTACATTATTTTACCTAAGAGGGAGAGTGAAGCAATAGTATAAAGGAGATGAAGGTACGTGCAGGAAAAGAGTGAGAACACACCCACCCACACACATACTCTCTAATATTCACATTGTTTTTGTATCCACTATGGGGCTTTAGTTTGGATAGCATACTCTATTGTACAGTGTTAAAGTGAACAGTCCTCCCTCTTTTGAAATAATTATTTTATAATGCCATTATTTGTTTCCATTTTTATTAGAAGTACAGTACTATCAACACAAAATATTCTCTTTTAGTTATCCTTTTAATATTATGTTAGCTCACAACAGTATAATTTTGATAATCCTTCTACATTAAGACTTTTACCAGCTTCAGATGAGGTGGTTTCCATCTCAAGCAGCCTTCTCATATGCTAATTACAGTAGTTCCATCCCAAATTCCACTGGCTCCCGATCAGCGGCAGACTAACTTAAAGATCTTTGTCCTGACCTTCAAACCCCTTCACCGTACCTCTGCAATCTCCTCCTGCCTCAATCTTCTGCCCATTACTTTTCCTACTCTGGTCTACTGCTCATTCCAGCGCCTCGGGACATCCTCCTGACATGAAAGACACTATACAAATGTAATTTGTTGTTGTTCCTTCCTCTATCCCCCCATTGGAAGCACAAGCACATCTCTACTCTCAACAACTGTCTTCCAAATCCCTTTGTGGTGTGCCTTCTCTTTATCTTCCAAACCCTCTTCAAGATCTCTTTCTTCGATCATGCCTTTGTTCATGTTTGAAATCTGTTTTTAACATTACGGCATAATGATTTACAGGAGTCAAAGGTCCCTATGTCAGATTGAGTAATTCCTCTGATTACTCTGTTTGTTTCTCTACTCTCTGAAAGCATTTGGCTATTGTTTCTTCCAATGAGGTACAGTTCCATGAAAGATTACAGTTTTACTTTAGTAACATGCTCAAATGGTCATCATTCACATGAGAAATTTGGGAATAAGTTATTAGACTACAAGGGAATCACAGCAGAGCCTGACGCTGTTCTCATCCAACATTTGCCTCAGGAAAGCAATTGGTAGTAGAAAGGCTATCTGATTTATCCTCCTATCCAGAGGTGTTGGGTTGATTGTAGCATCCTAATGACGCCTGATTAAGATCAACAACAACAGCAAAATTACATTTATGGAGCGCCTTTCACGTCTGGAGGACGTCCCAAAGCACTGAACAGTCAGGTGTCGGGGCCCGAGCATGGGGGAGGAGTGGTGTAGGGGTGAGGGAAGGCAGAGAGGTGGGAGGGCGACCAAAGGCACGATCGAAGAGAAGGGTCTTGAGACCGGCCTTGAAGGATGCAAGGGAGGAAGTGAGGTGAAGGGACCGTGGGATGGCGTTCCAGAGTGTGGGGGCAGAGAGGCTGAAAGCTCGGCCACCGATAGTAGGGCGGGTCGGGCGGGAGACATGGAGCAGACCGGAGCCCGCTGAATGGAGGGAGCGGGCAGGTTGGTAGGGAGTCAGCAGGTCAGAGAGGTATGAGGGGGCAAGGCCATGGATTGCTGGATTTCTTTTCGACCGCACCTTTGGTCACCTCCCCCACCCCACCACCGGCTCGGCCCTGGGATCCGTTACTGTTACGGGCTCTGAGACGTCGTCCGGCGTGGAGGATGCTATATAAATCCAAGTTGTTGTTGTTTTTGGATGGCCTTGAAAGTGAGGACGAGGATCTTGAACTCGATCCTCTGGGGGATGGGGAGTCAGTGGAGTCGGGCGAGGGTGGGAGTGATGGGGTCGCGGAGTCTGGTGCACGAGAGTTCACGAGCTGCAGAGTTTTGGATGATCTGCAACTTGTGAAGGGAAGAGTTGGGAAGGCCGATGAGGAGGGAATTCCCGTAATCGAGCCTTGATGTCACAAATGCATGGGGGAGGGTTTCATATTCAACACATACTAGGATCAAACCTGGGGCTTACTGGATAACCTCAATACCCGTAGGAGAAAATATGATTATTGTCAGTGACCCATTAAAAGAGAATGAAATGTGGTTAAAAGTGACTAAATTCAATTTTACCCCCCAAATTGGCTTTCTGGTAAATAATTTTGGGTGACCAGAACAACCTCTTCTTACAAATCCACTCTTTCAAAATTATTATAATGGCAGATCTTGCAGTTTTAAAGTGCATGAGCAAAAAATCATAGGTAATTCCTGTTAAGTGTAGTGACTGCTTTTGTAGGCAAGTATGGCAGCCATATATATGGTCCAACAAACAACCATAAAGTGAATAACAAATTAGAGAATTGGTGACAGGAACACTTGGAGAAACTTCTTTCTCTTTTCAAATACTGTAGTGTCATTTTTTTATATATCCGATTTGAAAAGCCAGTCAGAATTTTGGTACAGTATTGCTCCAGTACTGCGTATAATGTCAATTTAGAGGGGAAGTCCCGTCCTTCGGATGAGATCCACCAATGATACCCACAACTTTATGACACAGAACCGAGAGTCCCTTACAACTGAGCCAGGCTGACACCCTTACAATCACTTAAAATAATAAAATCTAACAATGACTTAACGGTATTTGGACACCTACCAAAGGAATTTCATGCATTTTGTGTGTTATAAAAATACTTGAAACTTCTTGAATCTTTCAGCAAATTGTCACTTGTTGGGTGTTTAAAAACAAAAGCCAATTTGATAAATGCTCCTCTAAAACTAAGCACTGTACATTTTAATTGGTTTTAAATCCGGATCACCCCACACAAATGTGTCAGCCCTGCAAATCACTTTTAAATATAAGATTTAACAAAACTTTCAAAATCAGGAAAACATTAGGCGTTGTACAGAGGGCAAACCCATTTAAATACATGGAGCTGTCCACATTTTAAATTTCACATAGAAATAGGTGTTTGTAAAGCAGCAACTTGCATTCATGTAGCACACTTTACATAGGATAATAACATTTGGAGTGCTTCACAGTGGTGTGGTCAGACACTGAGCAAGGAAGGTGACCATGGTTGGCGAAGTAGCTTTAGCTTTGGTTACATTTGTATAACGCTTTTCATGTCCGGAGGACATCCCAAGGCGCTGGACAATCAGTGTTTCGGATCTGAGCTGGAGGTTGGGATTGGGATCAGGGAGGGCGGACGGCCGGGGGTGGGTATGGGGAGGAGGTTGACTGTAAGGCACAGTCGAAGAGGAGGGTTTTGAGATGGGTGTTGAAGGAGGCAAGAGAGGGGTTGAGGCGGTGGGACTGCAGGATGGTGTTCCAGAGGGTGGGGACAGAGTGGCTGAAGCTTGCCCGCCAATGGTGGAGCGGGCGAGGTGGGGGATGTGAAGCAGGCCTCAGCCCGCTGAGCAGAGGGACTGGCCGGGTTAGTAGGGGGTCAGGAGGTCGCAGAGGTAGTGGGGAGCAAGGCCTTGTAGGGCTTTGAAAGTGAGGACCAGGATCTTGAACTGTGTCCTCTGTGTGATGGGAAAATAGTGGAGTTGGGCAAGGAGCGGGGTGATGGGGTTGCGGAGCCTGGTGCGGGAGAGGACATGGGCTGCAGTGTTCTGGATGATCTGCGGCCTATGGAGGGAGGAGCTGGGGAGGCCGACAAGCAGGGAGTTTGCGTAGTTGAGCCTGGATAATAATAATATTCCCTGCATTTGATATAGCGCATTTCACATCTTCTAGACATCTCAAAGGGCTTCACAGAATATACTATAAAGTGAATTGACTGTATATGTGTGGGCGAATCGTAGCAGCCAATTGCGCACAGTCATGGTTTGAAGTGACCAATTTATTATTGTGTTTTTTTTTACTTGAGGGATTATTATCAGGCATGTGGAGTAAGGAAACTTGCTCAAGGCTTCGCTCTGCTGGGAATCGAACCCAGGTCTTTCATTTGTGAGGCGAGCGCTCTAACCATTGAGCTATAGGACTACATGATTTTATGAATGCGTGTGAGGGTTTTAAAAAGTAGGGAGCAAGGCGGGGGGGTAGCAGTTGGGAGCTCCAGTGGTCAGTGGTGTAGTGACTGAAGTCAGTACGGTGGCAAGGAGGCAGCTTATGACTCTGTAAAGATGAGGCCTGTAAATAAAGATCTTTGCCTCTGATCAGGTTAGCTGATGCGAAATCCTACACCCATCGTTTGTCATGCTCACAGTGCTCCAGGACACTTCCCATGTAAAAGGCACTATATAAGTGGAGTCCTGTATCTTAGTGCTTAGAGCACCCGTCTCGCAAGCGGTACGACCTGGATTCGATTCCCGGGTAGGGCGAAACCTTAGGTAAGTCCCTTTACTCGCCCCGCCTCTGTTTACCCAGCAGTAAGTAGGAACCCGGTTGCCAGTCGATTGGCGGATTGCTTTTCCGGAGGGAATAATTGGTTCAGTAGTTTGGTCACTCAATTCACCACTGTTTGTGGGACACCGCTGCACGCAATTGGCTGCCGTGTTTTGCCCACAAAATGATACAGTCAATTCACTTTACAGTATATTCTGTGAGGCGCTTTGAGGCGTCTCAAAGGCGCGATAAGCCGTTGCATCAAATGAAAGGATTATTACAATAATAATAATAATACCATATAATTATGATTATCTCAACCGATCAACGAGGAGCGCACACACAAACCTATCCTCACACAAAGCCCAGCGCCTTCCAACGGCCCCTCCTCGCCCCATGACGCCGGGGCTAAGAAGTTCAGGGCAAACATTCCCCAAACCTCAAGAGTAATGAACTACAAACCTGCGCACACCCAGGCCTGGCCCGGCCCGGCCCCGTCTCCCGCTCTCAGCAGGTCCAGCCCACTGCGACACCGGGACCAACGGCTCCGCCTCGCTCTGCCCGTCACTCCGGCTCCAGCCTCCGCGCACGCGCACTCCCACTCCCCCCCCCCCCCACGCGCTCTGCCTGTCCGGTCTGCTCGAACCGCTGCGCACGCGCACTCCCACTCCCCCCCCCCCCACGCGCTCTGCCTGTCCGGTCTGCTCGAACCGTTGCGCACGCGCACTCCCACTCCCCCCCCCCGCCCACGCGCTCTGCCTATCCGGCCTGCTCGAACCGCTGCGCACGCGCACTAACGCCGCCGCGCTTGTCTGTCTGTCCGTCCGTCCGTCCGTCGGTCGGGCTCTGATTACCGCGCACGCGCACCCCCTCGCTTCGCCAGTCTGCCCGGCTGGCTCTAACCGCCGCGCAGGCGCACTGCCTCTCGCTCGCGGTGCCGCTTGGTCCCGCGTAGGTAATGGCGGCGGCGGCGGCGGCCGGGGGGGAGGAGGAGGAGGAGGAGCGGCGGCGGCGCCGGGTCCCGGAGCCGCTCTCAGCCAAGTACATCGGGTAAGAAGGAGACGCCAACGGGGCCTCGGTCGCTCAGTCCTGACCCATCCCCTCGCGGTCCCTCTTTAAACAGGAGCTGAAAAGCGACCGCCCGGGAGCTCGGCAAGAACTCACGGGTTTGAGTTGAGGATTAACGCAGGGGTTGAGCTGGTCACTGGGGAGGCCCGGGGGGCCCGGGGGGGGAGGCCCGGGGGGGGGAGGCCCGGGGGGGGAGGCCCGGGGGTGGGAGGCCCGGGGGTGGGAGGCCCGGGGGGGAGGAGGCCCGGGGGTGGGAGGCCCGGGGGGGAGGAGGCCCGGGGGGCCCCGGGGGGGGAGGCCCGGGGGAGGGTCGCACTGACCCCCGGCTAATGTAGGAAAGTGACTACATTACATCCGGCAGTTGGTGGCCATGTCGGCCTCCTGTCAGCTCAGAGCATCGCACTCACTGACACTTACTGTTGTAGTTTCGAGTCCCGAAGCTGAAGTGCAGCCCAGGTGGCCCGCGGGCCAGCACCCACCCACCCACCCGAGCCCAGGTGGCCCGCGGGCCAACACCCACCCACCCACCCGAGCCCAGGTGGCCCGCGGGCCAACACCCACCCACCCACCCGAGCCCAGGTGGCCCGCGGGCCAGCACCCACCCACCCACCCGAGCCCAGGTGGCCCGCGGGCCAACACCCACCCACCCACCCGAGCCCAGGTGGCCCGCGGGCCAGCACCCACCCACCCACCCGAGCCCAGGTGGCCCGCGGGCCAGCACCCACCCACCACCCGAGCCCAGGTGGCCCGCGGGCCAGCACCCACCCACCCACCCGAGCCCAGGTGGCCCGCGGGCCAGCACCCACCCACCCGAGCCCAGGTGGCCCGCGGACCAGCACCCACCCACCCGAGCCCAGGTGGCCCGCGGGCCAGCACCCACCCACCCGAGCCCAGGTGGCCCGCGGGCCAGCACCCACCCACCCGAGCCCAGGTGGCCCGCGGGCCAGCACCCACCCACCCGAGCCCAGGTGGCCCGCGGGCCAGCACCCACCCACCCGAGCCCAGGTGGCCCGCGGGCCAGCACCCACCCACCCGAGCCCAGGTGGCCCGCGGGCCAGCACCCACCCACCCGAGCCCAGGTGGCCCGCGGGCCAACACCCACCCACCCACCCCCGAGTCCAGGTGGCCCGCGGGCCAACACCCACCCACCCGAGCCCAGGTGGCCCGCGGGCCAGCACCCACCCACCCGAGCCCAGGTGGCCCGCGGGCCAGCACCCACCCACCCGAGCCCAGGTGGCCCGCGGGCCAGCACCCACCCACCCGAGCCCAGGTGGCCCGCGGGCCAGCACCCACCCACCCGAGCCCAGGTGGCCCGCGGGCCAGCACCCACCCACCCGAGCCCAGGTGGCCCGCGGGCCAGCACCCACCCACCCACCCACCCGAGCCCAGGTGGCCCGCGGGCCAGCACCCACCCACCCGAGCCCAGGGGAGGTGAGGTGAGGAGGAGCTGCAGACCGGTGGCTCACAGCCGACATGTGCACAGGGTTGATGGATTCCAAAGCAAATTCTGTCAGTTTTTAGGCCTCGGGAATAAAATAACTTCCCAAATGGTCAGAGGGCTGGAAGTCTTTGTTCCCGTCTCATTTCACTGGGAGGAGTGTGCGCGTGACATTGTTGATCTAGAAATGTATAATACTGCACTGTGGTGTTGATCTCTGTGGGTTATTTATTAAGGCATTGGGTTTGTCACTGGAGAGGTATCATTTACACTTCGAGTTTTAATCTCTGCAATTCAGTGATGTGCTGCATCAAATAACTTGCAAACCGTCGTAGCGTTTTGTCTTTTATTTTAAAAGAATAGCTGATGTGTTAAAGCAATGTGAAGTGTTTACATTTGTAAAATAAAGCATTATTCATCATGTGTATTAAAAAAAAAGTGGTGAATATCTGAGTATCTTTTGATATTTAATGAAAAAAGATAACATTTCAATTGTAAGCAATATCTCATTTACCAATGGATGATGTTGTACCCAGGAATTGAGATGTAGAAAGCGATATATAAAACAAATTGCACAGATTCCCCAAACCTCAGCTTCCCATATTTATTGTTGCAGACAGTGTATGCAAAAGAGTGACTTAACCAGCAGTTGCTAAAATATTGTTATTGGGGCGTGTGTTAGAGTAATGGCAGATTCCCTGTTATTCAGGATCAAATCAGCAGGTGTCTGTTCTTGTCAAAGTTGCAACAAGCTCAGATCAGGTAATTTGTTGATAAGTATTTAGCATTATATTGCAATTAATCTAGTTCACTCATAACCAAACCAATTGCGCCCATTTTCTAGGTTGGGTACAATAATAATACTTGCATTTCATATAGCGCCTTATCACATCTTCAAGACCTCTCAAAGCGCCTCACAGTATATACTGTAAAGTGAATTGACTGTATATTTTGAGGGTGAAACGTGGCAGCCAGTTACTCATGGCAGTGTCCTACAAGCAGTCGTGGATTGAGTGACCAAATTATTATTATTAAATAACAATAGATGTTATTCAATTACAAAAGATGGAAAATCCATCTTACCTCCCACCCCCTTCGTCCTCAGCTTTACCTTCCCATATCCACAAGCTCAGGTTCTCAGCCTGCCGTGTGAAACACATTGAGAAAAGAATGCTTTTCTCGGGTCAGCCATGTGTCTACACATGCGGAAACCCATCACCATGCTTAAGAGTATCCAAACCAAACTGAGAATGCGTAGGGAATCTTTACCTATCATGTCTTATTGTACTACATTCTAGGAAAATGACCCCAGCCAAATTCAAGCTAAAGGGGAACCCTTTAAAAATGACCTTCGAAATAGTGCTGTCTCGCTTCTAAGATAGGATAGTGTTGGATTGAGAAGATGGGTTGCTTTCTGATGGTTAAACACTTTCAGACTCTACGCTGCATGAGGGGCGCTATATAAATGCACGTTGTTGCTGTTGAAATAATGTTCTCACCTGTTTGTCACTGGAATTACCTGAAACTGCAGTTTCAGGTTAAGTATTTAAGTGTCTTTGGTAACCTGTGTCTCTTTATTAATTATCTGAAGCAGTTAAAGCTGTAACAAGAAAATATGGTACTGTTAGTAATGCCTTAAATCTAACATCTGGAAATTAATAAATTCCTGAACTGGCATCACTTTTCCCTTAATTCAACACTTACTGTTACTGTCAACAGTTAACTGAGTGTTCATTTCCCATGCTGCCGATTTGTTGCCTCCAGAAGGAAACTGACCTCTAATGACAACACTAAGATAAAGACATCCAGCAAATAGCAAGCTTGATCACACATTTACTTGCCAGCTCATACAAAAGAATTGGTGTTCACTATGTTCATCTCTCATATTCTGATAGACAGCTATTTGGTGCATAAGTAGATTATAAGGTATGAGAGCTAGAGTAAAGTAGGCTTTTCAAAAATGATTTTATTTGACATTTAGCTAAATGGGCCACAAATGGTCTCATGGTTCTGTAAATTCCAACATTCAAAGTTATCAACTGTGTCTGGTTTAACAGTGTTTTGTTTGAGCAAAAAGTTTATAGTTTGTGATGAATAGATTGTTTATATAATATAATAAATAATTTATAGATTGTTTAAGACTAGCATGTGTGACATGTTAGTTATTCAAGATGAAACTGCCTTTACAATCTGAATACTGCACTAAGTGGGATTGTGTATTTGGTACTTATTTTCCAAGCCTATATATGTGTTGACAAAGTAATTTATCTTCTTCACAGATCATTTGCATACTTAACTGTTAAAGACAGATTGCCAACCATACTGACTAAGGCTGTAGATACAGTGCATCGACATAAGAAGACTTTTTTTGAGAAATATGGACAGGTGAGTGCAAACCTGTGAACCGATATTCCATGCGTATAAAGGACTATAATCTACTAAAACTGCAAAATTCGAAGTGAACTGTAAATGTTTAGATGTTTAGTAAAAAAAAATTATCTAGTGAGTAGCTGAATCACACAGACCAAGAAAGACACAGGATTGAACCTCCTCTCCCATGATGACAATAATAATAATCATTGTGTTTGATATAGTGCTTAGTACATCTTCAAGACGTCTCAAAGCGCAGTGTAGTGACTGTATATTGTGTGGGCGAAATGCAGTAGCCAATTGCACACAGCAGTGTCCCACAAACAGTTGTGGATAGAGTGACCAAATTATTATTGTTATTATTTGTTGATGACTTTGATGCCAAATCTCCACCAGATTTGATTTGCTCTTGGCTCTGTGAACAGCGTCCTGAGTTAGAGTTGAGAGAAACAGAGAAAAGTACAGCCAGGTACTCCACAGATAAACATTTAGTGGAGCTCCCCCCATACATGCTGAACAGGTTGAATAGTTTGTTAACATTGTCAAGGTTCACACATGACCCATTAAGGTGATGTACTGCAGGCCCATTGAACCTACTTGTGCTTTAAGTGAAACAATGGTTCCCTTGTTTTCCCTTCCCTCCCCCAAAAAGATAGCTAATGTATCCCATTTAGTAACCCGTTTGTAGTATTATATGACATTCCAGTTAATCTCTACCCAATAGTCTTTTTTTCTACTTGATTTATACGACTCAAGACCCTCCTCTTCGACCACGCTTTCAGCCACCCTCCTACCCCTACCCTCCATGCTCTCTAGATCCGTACTTACAGAAGAATGCAACCATGTGAACATTCCCTCTTCTTAACATCCTCCACTCTCTGAAGCTATTTCCCAGTTTTCCAGCCTAACGATATCTTGTGAAGCTGGTGCACTCGAGCGAAGGGCAGCCTGGGACACACAGGCCAGAGACTAGCCTGATGGCAATCTTCAGTAACAGACTGAAGAAAAAAAACAGGGTCAATCAAATCAGTACAAGAGGTCAAGCATAGAGTTGATTGAGAGGAGCCATAATTTAAAGATGTGTCAAATTCCCACAAGGCAAAACTTTTTGGGACTGAATCCATTATTGATCTGAAGTTACTATAAAAGCAAGGGAACGTACTCACGAATAACAGAATGATATCTAGGGAATCGTGTTTAGCAGAATTATAGTGCCTAGGTTGTGCTGCAAGAATAAGCCAATACTGTGCTATTGATGATGATCTCAGGGTCCAGTTTCCATTGTTCCTATTTACTAAAGCTGAAAATAGACTTTTCTTTATTTGCATCTGATGTGCTTCAGTGAACATGGGGATGGTTGGAGACTTAGGCAGTGGTATCAGTATGCTCGATTTAACCTCTAAGAACATTCAGTGAATACATTGGAAAGTAATTTAGTATTTCCTTAACACAAACTGACTGTGGGTGTAAAACCTGAGGGATCCCTTTCAGATTAATCTGAACTAAAACCATGAAGAAGTGTCAGCATAAGAGATTCAAGGAATGCTGAAGGGATAAATAGTTGCCTTTTTCAACTTAACAATTATTTATTCGCTGTAGATATCTTTAACTGAGGAAATTAATTTGTCTAATATCCCTCATTATGGTATAGAAACTTTATTTCTGCTTATTTTACATATTAAAAAAAGCATGGTCCTTCCTGAACCTATTACAGCACAATGAAAGATGGTCTGTCAAAATATGATTTTAGATTAAAAATGTTATTCCTGTATAGGTCATCTTTCCCCAGCCCTTGGCTCCCACCCCCAGATCCAGCCTGTATTTTCAACTGCTTTATGGCGTCTTCCCAACGTGAAAGGTGCTGTATAAATGTGTATTATATTGTATTTGTTTATCTATGTTGAGCTGTGGGGAGGAATAGGGATGCTCTCTGATTCTTTCTATGACTGATTTCCCTCCCACCCCACCCCATCCTCCAGCTTTTGAACAAAGAGCTAAAATAAATTATCATTGAGATCATCTTCCAGTTCAGCAAGTGTTGAGCAAGGCTAGGCTAAAAATATTAAAGGATTATTTGAGCAAATAACTGGATTGGTACATTATATAGATTTTTAGAACTATTTTAGAAGTTTTGTTTTCATTGGAGAAGCAAAGAATGAAAGGGGATTTCATTCATGTTTGTGTGTTGACAGAGTGGATAATGTGACTTTCTTTGGAAAAGTCTAACAGAATTGCATATTTTTCTAGGAAGGTGTAGAGGCAGAAAAGCGAGCCATTGGCCTCATGTCTAAGTTACGAAATGAACTACAGACTGACAAGGCAGTAATCCCTCTTACCGATGAATTTCCCGATGCTGCCCAATGGAATACATACATAGAGCGTCAGCAGGCAGCGTTGGGTCCCGAAGAATTTCCAAGTTGGTTTAAGTCGTCCTGGCTTTTCATGGAATGTTACATGTATCGTAGGATTCATGAATCAATACTGCTCAAGTGAGTAAAAAGCAAATTTGAAAATTAATAAAAATAATAAGATGTAGTCTGCATTACAGTCTTAAGTTCCAAAGATGTCTGTGAAATAAGTCTGAATACAATATGGGCAATTCATTTGTTGAAAACTTATTGTGCAATTTTATTTACTGCTATATAACAACAAATATTGTGAAAACATGAATATTTGTGTGGATTTATGTGGAGTCCTTTAGCTCAGTGGTTAGAGCACTCGACTCGCAAGTGAGAGGACCTGGGTTCGATTCCGGCAGGGCGAAACGTTGGGCAAGTTTCCTGACTCCACATGCCTCTGTTTACCTAGCATTAAGTAGGAACACGGTTGGTAGTCGATTGGCAGATCACTTTTCCGGGAGTAATTAGCCCTGCTAAAAAATAATAATAAATTTATCACTCAATCCACGACTGTTTGTGGGACATTGCTGTGCACAATTAGCTGCTGCGTTTCGGCCACAAAATATACAGTCAATTCACTTTACAGTATGTTCTGTGAAGCGCTTTGAGAGGTCTTGAAGACATGATAAGGTGCTATATCAAATGCAAGGATTATTATTATGGGCGTGTAGAGTTTGGTGCGATTGAGGATACGGGTTTTGTATTAGTTTGGACCTTGCGGATGGTGGAACTGGGGAGACAAGTGAGGAGTGTGAAAAATCAAGTCAGGAAGTGACAAAGACATGGATGAGGGGTTCAGTCGCATTGGGATTCGAGATACCTCAGAGGCAGGCAATTTGGAGGAAACAAACCGTCCTGGTCAGGGACTGAATGTGGGGTAGGAAGTACACCTGGGGATCGAACTGGAGGCGAGGTTGCCTGCTGATTTGGTGAGTTTGAAAATAGGCTGTGGAGGTTGAGGAGAACTGAGTCGAAGATGAGGAGATGGTGGAAGGAGCTAAGAATGTTTTGTTCATATTTAGCTGAAGTTTAATTCAACAAAGCTTCATATCCTCATGCAGGATAACATCCTTCATGCAGGATAAAAATTCTGATGAAAGGTTATCGACCTGAAACATTAACTCATTTTCCTCTCTGCATAGATGCTGCCTGACCTGCTGCATTTCCCCGCGACTTCTGTTTTTATTTCAGATTTCCAGCACCTGCAGTATTTGGCCTTTTGTTTAAACCTTCATATTTTCCTCTTTCCCTTGTTGCAGTCCTCCCATCTGTGACTTTGATGTATTTAGTGAAGCAAAAATCCAGAGTTTCTTCTCGTCCCAAGATGCCATTCTCATTGTTTGTACTTACCTCCAAGAATTGCAGAGGAAAATTGAAAATTTCGAAGAATCTCAATTGAAAGATGAGTTTATGCTGCTGATGCAGGTAGGCTGTGTTGGATTAGTGTTATGTTTTTATAATAAGCAAATTTGTGAATATTCAAAGCTGCAGTACAATACAACTGACCCAATACAATACAATTCTAGTCTTTATAAACCAAAGCGGCTGAATAATATTTCAAACCTCTATTATTGTTCAGTGCCTTACAATGAGACTATAATAAATAATCGCATAATATAGTAGCTATAATGTTGAACATCTCAAAGTGCTTCCATAGATAATTGATATGTGTAGTTACCAGTTACATGTGTAGGCAAATGTGGTAGCTAATTTGTGCATAGCTATATTGTGCAATGAGCTTAAAATAAATAAACAATGACGCTGGAGGATTGTTGGATAGGATATTGGGAGAAACTTGCTTCTCTTTTCATGTAGTGTCATGGGATCTTCTTATCATATGTACCTGAACAGACAGATGGGACCTTGGTTTGACATCTCATTTGAAGGAGGGCAATAATGTGATGCTCCTTTTCCCCCCCCCTCCATAAAACACTGTAGTGATCACCTTGACAGTGAACTCAAAGTCCCGGCATCGGGCTTGATTCCACAACTTTCTGACTTCGAGGCAGGAGTCCAACTGAGCTAGGCTGACTTGTGGTTCAGTTTTTTCTGGGTTTTCTGTTAATCTGCTTTAAATGTATAGCTTTCCATGAATATCATAATCCAGCTCTGGGGCTTATTCTAATATCCAAATGATAAAAGATTGTCCAATGTTGGCACAAACTATGTAGCATAACTAGGCATTAGACAGTATAAAAAGATTACAGAGCAGTTGTTTGCAGGCCTGAAGTCATGGCACTGCTCTTATTACCATTAATGCTGTTGTTACACTCAAGCTACAGAAATATGTGTTTCTGACTACTTACAATCACTTCCTCAAATGAAGAGAGACCTATTTAGAAATATTACTACCATTCTCCACTTTACTAAAAGATTGCTTCGCTGCAATACTGATATTTGTATTGAGGATGACATTTAAATTCCTTTTCGATGTGGAATTGATTTGGATCTGAAACGCATGAGAAAGTGTTGGCCCTTTCATTTAAGTATATTTCTCTTAATGTTAGATGGTTACAAACAAAACTGAACACTAAAATGCAGATAAAAATTAAAATTAGAATGGTTTTGCATGTCTACTACAATCAGTCTACCCTGTTCTTCCTCCCCAAAATGGGGAATGGGTTATTTCTGCAGCTTCTATTGCCCAGTCATACTATTACCTGAAAGGGTGGTGGAAGCTGATTCGATAACAGTTTTTAAGAGAGGAGTAGATAATTATTTGGGTAGGACAAGTTTGCAGGGCTAAGGGGAGAGCGAGGGGAAGTGGGATTGAATTGGATAGCTCTTTTCAAAGAGCTGGCACAGACATGATGGGCCAAATGGCCTCCTTCTGTGCTGTATAATTCTATGATTCTACACTTCCTTGAAGCCTTTAATAGAATTGAGCTATAGATGAAGTCTAGGATAATAATAATTCTTGCATTTGATATAGCGCTTTTCACGTCTTCTCGATGTCTCAAAGCGCTTCACAGAATAGACTGTAAAGTGAATTGACCGTATATTTGTGGGCGAAATGCGGCAGCCAATTGCGCACAGCAGTGTCCCACAAACAGCCGTGGATTGAAAATGACCAATTTATTATTGTTTTGGTTTTGGAGGGATTATTATTAGACAAGTGTAGTAAGGAAACTTGCCCAAGGTTTCGCCCTGCCTGGAATTGAACCCAGGTGCCTCGCTTGCAAGGCGAGTGCTCTAACCACTGAGCTACAGGACTCCACGATTACCTTTGAATAATTTTTTTTAACCTGTATATATTCCTACATTATATTCCTTTAACTTCTCATGAATAAAATAATAATCTTGATATAACACCTTATCACATTGTCCACACTTCAAAGTACTTTCTAGAATATGAAAAGGAAATCTTCAGAAATTGTCAGATACACAGAAGAAGAAGAAAGTGTAAGACTGCTGCATCTACAGTAACATTGCTGCTTGTTTTGTCCAGGTTGCACTGTGGGGAAATCGATGTGATCTCTCCATCTCTGGTGGTCAGGACAACTCCCAGAAGAACAATCCTTTAGCTTCTCTGGAATCACTTAAGTCGTTCATCTTAGTAGATGATTCTGAACGTGTTTGGAATCTACTTGTGAATAACTGGAAAAACAAAACCTCACAAACTACACCAATCAGAGTAGATATTGTCCTTGACAACTCTGGATTTGAGCTGGTTACTGACTTGGTCCTAGCTTATTTTCTACTGAGCACTCAGTTAGCTGATGAGATTCATTTTCATGGTAAGAGCATGCCGTGGTTTGTTTCTGATACAACCCGGAGAGATTTGGATTGGACACTGAAGAATCTACAGGCAAGCAATCATGCGTCACTGTCCATGTGTGGCAATATGTGGGAGCAAAATCTGCATAAAGGGGTTTGGGTTTATCATGATCATCTGTTCTGGACCCTCCCTCACGAGTTTTCTGACATGTCTCAGGATGCACCTGATCTATATTCAGAACTGCACAAGTCCAACTTAATCTTTTTTAAGGGAGATTTGAACTACAGGAAACTAACCGGAGACAGGAAATGGAGCCATACCATATCATTTGACACTGCTCTACAAGGGTTCCATCCTGCTCCACTTTGTAGCTTGCGAACATTAAAAGCTGATATTCAAGTTGGTTTAAAGCCTGAACAAGCTGAGCAGCTGACTCTGTCTGATCCTCAGTGGCTGGTCAGTGGGAATTATGCCATTATTCAGTTCAGTGACCCCAATCCAAAATAATGTTGTTAAAAATTTTCTTCCATGGTATCATCCCTCAGAATAATGAAGGCAACGTGATGACATTCTGGATTTCTGCTCTGTTCTGCTAGCATGTTTTTGCAATGTTTACATAATGCATTATTGACTTTAAGCATGTTTAGTAGAAAATTCTAAACTTTCTGCAATGTAATTTTTTTCAGGACAGTTGCAAGGCTGCTTGTAAAAGAGAATGTACTGTAAAAAAAATAAAGTCTTACTGAAATGCTTACTTTATTATCTATTACTTCAAGCGCTCCGGGTCGCTGCCCCCTGTGAAGGGGGCTACATAAATACAAGTTGTTACTTGTGAAAAAATATTTTCCTTGGTAATTTTCACCCGTCAACCTTCCTGACGGTGGTTGCTCTTTTTTCATGTTTCACAGGTGCTGGTCACGTATCAGCCACTCAACCAACTGGTTATTCTTTGCATTGAGTCTTGATTGACTGTCCTCAGGTAATTTGAATGGAGGTGACATTTCAGTTGAGCTCATTCTTGTCACCACTAAACATCAACACACACTCTCTAACACACCATAAACCTGTGGAATTGCTGGACAGTGATCAGGAGCAACAAGCAGTCACTGAGTTCTCCCGTACACAGCACTGAGTGCTGGGATTAAATGTAGCATTGCTATTGCTTCCCCGATTTAAGATTGGCTAATCCCACAAGCACCAGAGGTGATGGAAATACATTTGGTTAAAATGTTTGTTAAGAGTTGATGCATCTCTAATGGTTTCAATTCAAGCTCTTTTGGTAGATACTTCAGCAGATTTAATGGGAACATGTGGGAAACATTGATCTAAGGAAACTACATTGAGCGCTTCTGTTTAGAAACTGGGAATACACAGCAAAAATAGCACCATACCCATTAAATGTTGATATCCATCCTTTGGATGAGATTTTAAACCGAGGTGCCATCTGTTTGCTTAGGTGGACGTTAAGGATCCCATGGGACAATTTGAAATGAGAATAGAGTTTGTCCCGGTGCTATGGCCAACAATCTCCCAAATAAATGAAGTCATTCAGTTCATGGCTATTTGTAGGGTATAGACAGGGATATGGATAATAACAGAGAGAGATAAAGACTGAGAGAAAGAGAGGGCATTGTGTGGGACCACAGTAACCGTATAAGTCCTGATAGTTTTTTTTAGTTGGCATTGCAGTCAATTTGTAATTTTGGTGATGTTCTATTACAGGCACCATTTGATTATCCACAATGGGTCTGGTCCCACTTAGTGCAGATAAACAGCTCCCTACTGTACTATAAGAAGGGAAACCATATGTGAGGAAATTTGTCTTGGGCAAAGGTGAGAGAATATGTAACCCATTCTGACTATTATCGTCCATTGTGGGAGGTGAATACAGTATTTAACAGGGTTTTAGAGCACAGTATTAACCATCAACCAGAGTCACCTATTGTCTAAAATTTTACAAGTGTATTTC